GTACATCAAGGAAGAACTAATGATTGTTGGTTCCTTCCCCACAGGTAAGCTGGATTACGGAAGACTGAATTCGACGGTGCTTTAGAAGCCTGCACGTCGATCCTTTGGATTATAGCAGATGTGTTGTTGACCTGTCTGCCTCAGAACTTTCACTGCGTAAATTTTTGAGGATGATCCCCCAGCTCGTCATCAAACTAAAGGAGGTGTATTAAGACAACTAATTAATTAACCGTGTCAAGCAAAGGATTCTACGATTGGCCGACGTCTGCGCCAATAGCCATCAATTGCATCTCGTCATTTCTTCAAGATTGTGTTTGGTTTTTATTTGTCCCTGAGAATTTTGTATGTGTCCCCTAAATCGATATGCTGATTGAGGTGTGCCACATCTGAGGTGGTCATATACACATTGGACACCGGGCACAAACTCCGGTGAGGATTTAAAGGAGCTTCTAGACAACTTAGAAGGAGTTAGAGCTGCTTGCGACGAGATAATGGTTGCATTTTTCGTTTTTCCCCGATTTCGCTCAATTTAGCTAGGCGCTGCACCGAAGAACTCCTTCAAGCCCACCCTTCCGGGGTGCCTGCGGATGCTTCACGTCAACTCTTAGGTCTTTGTCTATAATCAAACCTTCCCTTTTTCCAAACAACGCCCCTGGCAATCAAAGGATTCCACAACCGGTTTCCTGTAGAAGGCCATAATGCGGAAAACGGAAGCTATGGCTCTTCCTAGAGTTAACCAAAAACTAAGGCCGCACTATGTAGATGACAAGTTTTTCATCGTCAGGAAAAAGCAGTTAAATCTGTTTCACACAAATACTAACCCTATATTTCAAGGAATCAAGTTTACTTTCGTAACGGAGGCTGGTGGACAATTTCCATTCCTGGATGTCCTTGTAAGTCGAAAAACTGATGGACCACTTCGCACAGCAATTCACCACAAACAGACATTCAGAAGCTGCCCTATATTTTGAGGATAACCAACCCACTTCTCGTTAATGGAGTTCAGTCTACGGCCTTCTCAATCTTGCCAAAATGCACTGCTCTGATGAAAAAGTTATCCAGAGATAACCTTGTCATGTCTATGTCGGACAGACTTTCTGCTGTTATTAATTCGAATGGACAATCTACAAAGTACTAATTTTTTGTATCTGTTTCTGTCCTTAATTATTTTTGACCTTTTATGCGCCCTCCTCCTTTATACGTCCTCATACGTAGCCTTTATTAACTTGGTTGTAATATAGGCGTTTCTCGAAAATGTGACTTTTGTCGAAAATTATTTATTTTTATCTCAGTAAATAATATTTTCTTAACCAAACTTTGCTTTATTTCTTTGGCACATCGTTTATTTTCCGCTATCAGACTTTGGGAGCCGTAGTGTTTACCGATTTTGCGTTAAAGGCGTTAACCTGTGTTAATTCGTGACATTTCATGAGTTAGCACAGGTACTGTACTCTTCTTTTGAGTATGATATTGGAAGAAGACGTGATTTTCTACCGAATAAGTAAAAGAATGAATATTTTTATGCATGTTTTCCATAAAATATAATTGAATTTTCAAGGGCATCGAAAATCAATGAGAAAATCGCATACTACGTAAGTAGTCATTTTTTGCAGAGTATAGATCTTGCATGCAGCCGAAAATAAGTTCTTTCGAAAGCCGACACCCTGAGGTTCCGCTAACTGGATCATTATGGGTTTATGCTGCATCATGATTAGTTTTACAACACTACTTAATTTGTCTTTTCGAAACGAGAACGCATTTCGAAATGTTGGTTGACATTTCATGAGTTAGCACATCTACTGTAGGTACTAGTTAAAAACACCAGACAGGCGTTTCGCCCGGTCTGGCCCTAAACGTCATGTCCCGGACACTTAACTCCGCAAAAAAGCCTGGTCAGCATGTAAAAAACTATCTCAGACGTCAGTGACAACCACATAGCATCGATTCTAGCGGAGACAGGGTGACACGGAAATTCTACTTCCTGCCCTACATGCCAAGAATTTCCGATGCGATCGCCCGACAATTAACTCAGTTTGACCCACAAACCGGCTTTCATCCTGTGCACAGCATTATCAAAATAAATGACTCCATACCCAAGGAGTAACAAACAAATGTGATTTACCGCATTCCTTGTGTTAACTGTTCCTACGTTTATGTTGGGCATCCGGCCGACGACTTGGGACCCGCATTAACGAACAAAAGCTGGCACACCGTCGACGGGACCCTTTGTCTCTGGTGTTTGCGCATGCCCTTGAGTGTGGTCACCGCTTCATTTTGGACGGGACGGAAGTGATCGTCAATGCTAACATTAAACAGGCGCGTGGACTTCTCGAAACTAGGCACTAAAACACCAACAGTATCAACTGTCACGTCGACCTGGACGCTCACTACGAAAGTTTAAGTTCACGGCTCACAGACTTGCACCCACCCTAAAACAGTAACGCTAATTCATGTTCGGCCATGAAGAATATCACGGATTGCTCACCTCCTCCACACAGTGAACCAAGACTGAAACCCTCAACACCTTACCTTAAATTCTGGCACCTGTATTAACACGCTATTTTCATCCCCCCACACGGATGCCTGTTCTGCCGACGGGTGTGGTTGGCTGACGACGGCTAATAAGCCAGATATGGCCACTCCAGTCTCCCTTGTCCTTGTCGGTAATTTTATTCTGCCCGTATGAAGCACCGCTATGTGGCTGGTTGCGGGGCCCGCGTGAGCCCCAAGGCCTAACGGAACGAATGAGTTCCTCAGCGCGATCGGTGAGCGCTCACACACCATTATATATACGTGCCACGTAAGCGCGGTCGCCCTCACCTTTTTGGTTAGGATCTTGCTCGACTCCATTGTGTTCGCCAGTCAACGTGCTACTGTGGACAAAAAACATTGTGTCATAGGACACATCATACGTAATACGCAGACAACTCATTAGACGTGCAACAGATCTGACGCAAGCAGCTGTCAGCGGTCAACAGTACACCATAGACCTTATGAAGCGAGGCATATAATTACGTCAAGTAAGCGCGTCAGTCTCACAGACGTGATTAGGATTTCGCTCGATTCCATAGAGTGAGGGGTACGCGCTTACTTAGCATGTTTACATACCTCACTTCATAAGGCCTATAACGTACTGATGATCCGCAACGACTGTGAAACAGTTGTCTGTGTCTGGTCTGCTGCCTTCATAGCGAGCTGGTTATGTATCATATATATTGAAAATAAGTAAGATTCTTTTGGGGAGGCAATAACCTTTAATGCGTAAATTTTCGGGTTTGGTTCCCCAGCTCTTCGTCAGACTTTTGGGTTATGTACAAAAACAGTTAACTGTTTAACCGTGTCGATCAAGTGATTCTATGATTGGCCGAAACCTGTGCCAATGCGCATCAATGGTTTTTCGCCACTCCCTCGGTATTGACTGCGCTCGCCTCCATTTGTCCTTGAGAAATTTGTATGTGGCATCTAAATCGACAGGCCGATTGATGCATGTCTCATCTGAGTGCATTGCCTTCAGGAATTCGTGGCAGGCGCCAACAATGCGAGTGTTTTCCCATGCAAATTTGTGTCCAGTGTACAGTGTGTGCATAGCCACCTGGGATAGGTGATCTTGTCTCCTCAGTGCCAACTGATGCTCATGTATGCGGGTTGAGGCAGATTTCCCAGTTTGGCCACAAAATACGGCATCACAACTGGAACATGATATTTTGTAGACAACACCTTTTCTATCAAAATAACCAGCCCTGTTCTTAGCGTGGACAAGCTGTGTACGCAAGGTGGCTGTGGGTTGGTGTGCTACTTGTATCTGGTGCTTTTTCAGCTGTCTTTCGACGAGTTCAGATACACTTTTCACGTATGGGAGGGTCCGCCAGGTGAATGTTTTTGGTACCCGAGTGGCCGTTGTTGTCTAAATACCTTTCTGCTTTAACTCATGTTTCATGCAATGACGTATAAAGTCGCGCGGGTACCCGTTGTGGGAAAATAATTTGTAAAGGTATTTCATTTCTGCTTGATAAGGTTCATCATCAGAAACTAGTAGTGCAGGCCTCGGCCAACCAAATAATCACTTGTTCGACAAGGTTAAACAGTTATCTGTTTTTGAACATAACCCAAAAGTCTGTCGACGAGCTGGGGAACCAGACTCGACAATTTACGCATTAAAGGCCATTTTCTTCCCAAATAATTTTACTTTCAATTAAATTTCTTGGAATGCTCGTTCTGCAGT